TCCAAAAGCTTTCTATAAGTGCTGGGTTTCCTGTTTGCTTAAGAGCTTCCAAAATGGCTTTCTGGTCATTTGTCAGTGTGCTTTCATCTCTATATGGTCTCTTTTTTGGTTTGCCTTTCTTTACATCTGACATCGTTAAGCCTTCATATTCTGTTAAATCATACATCTTTATTTCGGTAAGATTCTTTATGTTTGTCAAGAAGAAGTCATAGTGCATTTCAACAATACCTGCAGCATTTGCTTCTATCTCTGATATAAAGTTCTCCTTCAAGAGCTGATGTAGTAATGTTCCAATATTATTGAGGTTTAACGTAGAACATTCATACTTTCCACCAAGTTTATAACATACCATCCATCTCTGTTGTGTGAGTTTATTTAATTTTCTCTAAGAGTCTCATGAAAACCTTACCGAAATGTTTGTGTAAGTAGTCTCTGTTTGGTTCATCTAAAGCTTCGATGTTAAAGTCAATGAGTCTATTGCCTGACTTCACATTTCTCTTCCTATTCTCTTCATCTTTCTTTAACCATCTCTCACCTTCTTTTGGTTTGTCGTCAATGGAACGAATGACATCGTTAGCTTTGCGAACTTGTTCTATAGCACTTTTAAACATCTCTCTTCTCTGTTGTTTCAGTGTGTCGTCTCTTCTTCTTGTTTCACCAACGTTCGCATTGTTATGTCAAACATCTCACGCCTTACTTCATGAGGTACTGAACGTCTATGATATAAGTCAATAGCAATGTCATTTAAAGGAAATGCTATTGCATGAACTTCGTCCTCGCCGCGTTGCGGCTTTATGAACTCATGAATTCTATCATAACTTATTGCACCATTATAGTCTTTAATGAAGTCAGCGAGTGCTTTTTTGTTTGTTGCGTAATGCTTTGCAACATCTATATTAGCTTCTGTAAGAAGTTGTTTTATTTCCGAGTGTTCTAACTTAGACAACTTCCGATACATTTAGTAGGAAATAAAAAAATATTTTTTGAAAAAATTAGATTAGATTTTTTTTAAGTTATTTTTCAAAATAATTTAATATTTTATTTTAATGAAACACATGCAAGATTGCAAGTTCTTTTCATACAATGCTCTCGCTACTGCCATCAAGAATGAGTTCAATGGTGCTTCAAACGTTAATGTTATCTTTAACAAGAAGTATGTGAAAGAATCTAAGTTTGGTCAGTATGTCAGACCATTAGCTATCGTCATTGACCGCAAACGTTATACTTCAAGAAAGTTAGCAGTAGTTTTGAAACAAAAAGAGTTTCTTCGTGAATGTCAAAGATACTCATTATACTGTTATAAAGAACTCTAACATTGACTTCTTCAGTATTGCTTTAAATCTTTCCGAACAGAAAGAATATAAGAAGGGTGAAACAAATGTGAAATATTATCCTTCATCTCTGAAGACAATAACGAACAAAGATGTTATACAGAAATTCTTACAAAGGTTGAAGAAGCTTCTATTGACATTGACGAAGGAAGTGAAATGGTTGAAGAAATAGACCCTGAAGCTATTTAAGCAAAAATATATTTTTGGTTAGTCTTCATATGGATTTTTACAACAATTCCCCAATGTATAAACTTTTCATACGCTTTTTCATAAGCTTTATATACCTTCAGAAATTTTGCATAATCTTTTACATGTTGTTCGTTCTCTTCTTCTGTCATGAGTTCCGAATATTCTAAATTCATGTTCTTTCATATGAGATAAAATTTTATAAAAAAATAAAATTAGCTTAGATTTTTTTATTCTTCCTCTTTGAAGTTGTCGAAATATTCTGTTATCTTTTCCTTCAGTAATGGTAAGTCTTCTTTGAATGTAAGTATTGTGCAACCTTTGATGTCATAGTGTGTTTGAGGAAGAGTATTTTTGACAATTTCCTTTATTTGCTCATTCGGTGTCATTGAAATCGGTAAGTTTTCACGATAGAACCAGTTTCTGTCAGATTTGTAAATCTTAGCAAGGTCGTAAAAGCTTTTGTTATTTCTTCTGACTAAATGCAACATAACCATATCTCTATCTTCTTCTTTCTCCAACTCTTCAGCGTAAATCATATACTTATAACTCTTTTCCTTTCCTTTTGGTACTGAACGCGGTATTCTTTTCTGTATGCTTTTGTCTTTGGATTCAATGACTTCATCTTTTGCTTGAAGTTTCTTTTCCAGCTCTCCACGTTCTGCTTTATATAGTTCATCTAACATCATGAAAATATAACAAGCATAACGAGGTGAAGCCCACATTGCTACAGCATTTACTAAAAGTCTATGAACATAATAACCTTTCAAACCAGGAGCCAAATTCTTGCGATTTTCGAATGGAATCTCTTCCCTCGGTTTTCCGAGGGAAGCAATCATATGAGGAAATTCTTCTAAAAGTTCTTTAGCCTGTTGGTTTTCAAACCAATGATATGCTTGCTTTGTAGAAAGAAGAGCATTCATTATACTTTGCATTTGGTACATGTCATCTTTGACTGAACGAATGAGACAATTGTTTGTTAACTGATTCGTATTCTTCATTTATGGCTTCATGAACGATAGCAGTTGTTGTGTTCTCTGTTGACATATCTGTCTTTACATACAAAATAAAAAAATAAATAAAAATAAAATTAGCGTTATTTTCTATCTTTCACAAAAGACCAAAATAAACGCTTTACATGTATTTTTCAGCAACTTCGTCAAATAATTTTATAGCTTTATCTATCTCATCTACTTCAAACGTTTCTTTACCTTTTATGGGAGCACCATATTTTCTCAAACTTTTCGAGTAGTTCTGTTTCTGCGGCTCTCATATCATTAACGAACACAACCTTGACTCTATTGACTGTACTGTCATATCTTTGAGTTATATTATATGTCCTTCCTATCTTATATCTTTTTGTGTTGAAGTCCTTCGGTTTCTGAACGATGTAAAGTAAGCCTTCACTGCAACGTTCCGTATCGAATGAACCATAAGTTATGAAGTTATATCCAACAACTGGGTCAATCCATAACAAAACTATTGGTATAAGACTTTTGTCGATGAGATATGCTGTAGTTCCATAGAATCTTACTGATATCATAAGCTCAGGATTTCTTGTCAAAATTTTCTGAGTTGAAGCATTTCTAACCCAGTCGTGTGTTTTCTTTCCAGATGGAAATATAATGTCTGACAAAGAATATTTGTTGTATTTCTTTGAGTATCTTACGTTTAAATCACCTATTCTAACCACTTTGGTGTCATTGTCTATCTTTCTAACTGTTTCAAACTCAATGTTTGTCATTTCTGTTCTTACATACAAAATAAAAAAATAAATAAAAATAAAACTAACTTTATTTTTTCTGTCTTAAGGAAATTCATGATTTTGTTGCTGAATTCAATAAAAATATATTTTAGGGTAGATGGTTAGATCTAACCTCATTTCTACCCTCTTTTCTACCCCAGTTATTTTATAAACGTTTCACATGGTAAACGTTATTTTTGGAATTTTGTGAAAACTCAACGGTTTGACACAAGCCATATGCCATTTTACTCAGAATTTTGTTGCTGAATTCAGCAAAAATATATTTTAGGTGAAGAGGTGAGATCTCACCTGTTTTCTCACCTGTTTTTTCACCTATTTTTTTCACAAGCGTTTTACATGAATTGTACGATGTATATTTGAAATCCTAAACAGTTTTGTAGCTTCTATTTCTTCTTTTAGTACATCGAATGTTTTAACTATGCCGAAGGTTTCTTTATATTTCTTCTTGACGTCAGATAGAAGGAAATCGTCAGCAGTTGGATAGTTTTTGTTCAGAAATTCTAACATGTCCATTTTATTTTCTGCTGGTTTTTCTGCTTCTTTCTTTAAATCTGCATAGTCGTTTCTCATTCTTTCTATCTCTTTGACGGAGTAGTTATATCTCCTCATTGCTGCTTTACATTTAGAACATTGCGGGTTCATTTTTGCGTTATACATTGAAATAAAACCAGCTAAAACAACTAAAGCGTCAATTGCTCTCTTCATCTCAAACATAGCGGGTCTTATTTGTTTGTTCCATACTTTGCCTCTTCTATCTTTATCTCTTATTTCCCAAACACATTCTGCAACTAACGAAACAAAGTTGTCGTAGGTCTTAAATTCTTCAGATTTATATATGTCAGAAACATTCTTATATACCATGTCGCAATCTTTGTCCATAACCTTATGGTTGCAATGAAATCCTAGAAACTCATAGTTTACCTTACGAATGAACTTCTTTATTTCTACTGAGTCAGTTGGTTTCACTTCAATTTCGTCGAATTCAGGAATAGTGAGTTTTTGTTGTTGGATTTCAGGTAGTTTAGGTAAATGGTCAATAATGTCCTGCATTTCATAAAGATACTGTTCATTTGTTTCATCTTTCGCACTACAGTCTAAATTACTTGTTAAAAGTTCTTGCTTTATCTTCTGGATTTCTGTTTCAAAAGTATATGAAGAAGGAATGAAGCTTTTCATCTCTACTAACATAGATGTTGGATTCATGACTAACGAGTTTGGTGCTGTAGTTGTTTGTATTGCTGTTGTGCCGATTGTTGAAATCATATCTTTACATACAAAATAAAAAAAATAAAAAAATAAAACTAACTTTATTTTTTATTTCGGGAAAATTCATGAAAATTCAAGAGGTGAAAAAAGAGGTGAAAAAACAGGTGAGATCTCACCTCTTCACCTAAATTATATTTTTGGGTCCTTTACACTCATTACGAAGAAATCATGACAAAACATTTACGTTCATGTTTGACAAAACATTTACGAAGAAGTTTTGACAAAACATTTACGTTCATGTTTGACAAAACATTTACGAAGAAGTCATGAAAATTCAAGAGGTGAAAACAGGTGAGAAAACAGGTGAGATCTCACCTCTTCACCTAAACATTATTTTTGCTGAATTCAGCAACAAAATGAACGAGGTCAGGATGTATGTAAATACATTTGAATTCATTCATAACACCCTTAGTAAGCTCATAAAATGCTTGTTTTGAGGTCGAGCCACTTTTGGCTCCACCGTATTCTTTCAACCAAAACTCAAGAATTTCCTGCATGAATTTTGTATAAAAAGCAACCGTCGGAATTCAGACTGTTGCTATATTCTTCACAAAACATTTACGCTCATTACGATGAAGAAGTCATGACAAAACATGTACGATGAAGTCATGACAAAACATGTACGATGAAATCATGACAAAACATTTACCCGACATTCTCGTCAAATACAAAAAATGACACTTTTTCATTAGATAACTGTTATTTTTTGACGAAGTGAAGATTGACACTTCGTCAAAAAAATCCCTGAAATCATGTCTTTACATACAAAAAATACAAAATAAATAAAATAAAACTAACTTTATTTTTTATTTCGGGAAAATTCATGAAAATTCAAGAGGGTAGAAATGAGGGTAGAAATGAGGGTAGAAATGAGGTTAGATCTAACCATCTAACCTAAACATTATTTTTGGTCATGGACTTCGTCCTCGCCGCTTTGCGTCTTTATGTTAAAATAAATGGTACCATTAATAATTTCATGACTGTTCTCGTTCATGTCTGATTTACATCCAATGAAAAAGTTTAGAAGAATTTTCTTATTCTTTCTGGCATATTTTTGTCTTTCCAGTACTCCCGCTCTAATGGTCCCAGATGTGTTGGCTTTGACTCTCTCAAGTTCTTAGATGGTATAACATCTTCAACACCTCCTTCATATCTTACTTTATAAGTGTCATCGTTTATGTTATAGTCAAGTATTTCAATAACCACTCCTCGCTTTGCTTCGTCAATGGTTTCAGCAAGTTTGCCATTACTACTTTCGACTAATTTATGTCGAGGGTAAAACGCAATAGAGTCGTCAGCAGCTTTTATAAGATATCCATTACCTTGCGTAGAGTCTACGATATAATAGTTTCTACTTAACCTTAAACGTTTCTTTGTCAACGGTTTGTCGTCAAGGACTACACGAACTTTTGTACCAGGAATGAGGGTAAATTGTGTTGAATTTCTGATATTTTGTGTTTGACTTCGTTTCTTTTGTATATACTTTTCTTCTTGTTGTTGTGTCATTGAATTTGGTGTATGTCCTGTTGTAGAATGTGTTGAGGAATTATATACTTCGAGAAAATGTTTCATTGTTTCTTCGATAAAGTCTCGCTCTTGGTTTAAATCTCTGAGAGTCCTTATGAAGCGGTTTATGATGCCGAGTATGTTATGGTTATGGTCTTCAGTAGTGTAGTGAGTTATGTTATGCTTAATGAGAAAATCTGTGATTTCATTGCTGAGGTATGCACTGTCTTGGTCTGATGTTAAAGTACTTGGGCTATGTTCTGCTACAAACTTTTGTAAAACTCTTAACACTTCATGAGTTCCTTTATTTTTCATTGGATATGCATATGCTTTACGAGTGTTAACATTAATGAAGATGAGGAATGGTTTATGTCCTCCTTTTCTGCTTTGAATGAGAGTGTCAAATTGGTATGCGTCAGGAGTGATGGAGTAAATTGGTAAAAAGTAGTCGTAAGGGTTTATTTTTGTTTGATGTACAACATTTTTGTCAAAGAACCTTTTCACTTCAGCTCTGTTAGTAAATCCCCGACTCTTTGCAGCTTCATTGAACTTCTTAAATGACCTCCATGGATGTTGTTCGAATACTTCTTTCAAGCTCATTTATGTAAAATTAAAGATTTTATTCTAGGCTCAAGCGCGTTCATTGAACTCTATACCATGCGAATACAGTCATAAATGGTGGCATATAATCTGCACCCGAGCCTGTTGGATTTGTTGTGAAAGTATGGACATGATTTCCTCCTGGTTCAGTTGGTCGAAAAGTCTTTTTTGCTGCATTGTTATAAGATGGAGATAAAACGTCATTGCCAGCTTTATATTCTGAGTTGTATAATGGATGGTCTCTTAATGAGTGGCTATGGTCGCCAGAAAAGTTTGTAGTTCCTGTATGAGTGTGCGCAGGTAAGTTTGCTTCAGTAATTTTCTTCGAACCACCTGTTTGCTTTGAAGAGTTAGCACAGTATAAGAATTTGTCTACAATCTGTTCCCAAGTACCAAAACCTAAAACTGTTTCTGGATTTGTTGAATTCATTGACGTATAAATAGAACCTATAGGATATAATGTTTCAAGAATCTGAGTCTTTAATGTTTGAAGCTCTGTTTTGTCTGCTTTCTTATCTAACATTGCGGGTAGTTCATATGCTTCAAAGTTTCTGGCATGATCTTCGATATTCCTGCAACTCTTATCTAAATTGTTAAGAGTATCTTTTACGCTTGTACTTGGATTTTCTAATGGTGCACTTGAACCAAGGTCAAAGTTCAGTATTATGTCGTCTGCTCTAACAGTAGTGAAGGATTTATGTGTATGGTTCTTGTCAGCTTTACTGTCTAATGTAGCTTGAAGTTCATTTATATCGGAGATGTTGTGTTTATGAGATTTCAAAACTTTGTTCATTGCGTCAAGTTCATTTTTGTCCGCTTTACTATTTAATGTAGCTTGAAGTTCATTTATATCGGAGATATTGTGTTTATGTTCTTTATCTGCTTTTTCGGCTAATTTCTCTTCTATCTCATTTATTTCAAGTTCATGCCTACCACCACCTCCCGAAGAAGTATTTTTCTTCAGCTCTTGAAGAACGTCCACTTCGCCATCTTTGGTGTCAATAATGAGACTTTGAGTTAAAACCTTTCCTGTCTTAATGGATGTTTGTAAAACTTCTTCTTCACCGTGTTCGGGGTCATGGTCGTCATCATATCTTGTGAAATCAGAGATGTTGTCATACATTAAGCATATCTGTCTCAAAAGTTCTGCTATTTGAAACTGGAACGAAAGATATACAGAACTTTCATCATCTCCTAAAGTCAAGTCTGCTTTCTTAAGTATTTCTTGAATGTATGCAATGAGAACAGAGTACCTTGGAAAATATTCGAACAATATTTCATTAGCTGTTGGTTTTGGTGGTTCTTCTGGAGTTTCTGTTGTTTCAGTTCCTTCTGTAGGTTCTGTTGGAGTTTCTGCATCTCTTGACTTCAATGCTTTTGCTCTCAAAGACCTAAATGTTAGAGCACCAGGTTTTACAAAGGACTTTATAAATGCTTTAATAGTTCCTGGTAAGTTATTGTTAGCATTAAGTAAGTTCTTTATGCTTCCATCATGTACGTCCATAGCACTATGTAAAAAATCTATACTTTTCTTGTAGTCAGCAATAGACTGACTGTGATTTTTTAAAGATTTGTCAATACCTTTAAGCCAATCTTCATGCATGTCTGATACTGAGCCAAGAATATCATTTGCTTCCTTTAGTGTATTTTGTGCTTGTCGTAAAGTATCCAATCCCGTACGTGCATTGTTTGCTATACGTCTTACAGTATCTATTTGACTCCTTGTTTCTTGCATCCAACCAGATAAAGTTTTAATAGTATCCGAACCATTTGAAATGAAGTTCAAAGCATTTTTAACGTCATTTAAAACTTCTTCACCAAGTACCGCCCATATCTTTCCGATTTGGTATTGAAGAACTCCATATGAAGCAGCTGTTAAACCAGTATTTATAAGGTTCCATATCCATGATTTAGCAGTTTTTCCATCCTTTCCATCTACACCATCCAAACCGTTCTCGCCTTGAGGTCCTTGTATTCCTTGTATTCCTTGTATTCCTTGTATTCCTTGTGGTCCTTGAGGTCCGGTGTCACCCTTCTCTCCTTTCAGTTCATCTTTATGTTCGTTATAATATTCTAATGTCATAAGGTGTACATCATTACTGCTACCAGCAACGCCAAGAATTTGTTTCTCATTCATGACTAAATTCTTTAAGCATTTAATGTTGTCGTCAAATCGAAAGCTCTTTAACAATTCAATGAGAACATTTAATACTTTCACTAATGAGGCATCTACTGTAGAATTTATATATTGCACCGTTCCATCATTTATGATAGGAACTTTACTTATTGTAATGAATGGGTCATAAGTGTTAAAAGTATCGAAATCAATGACTTTTTTAGTTTTTCCATCGTCAATGACTAAATCATTGCCTTCATGTTAAAGTTGAGTTTTCGTTTACTAGTTCATGTGCTCTTCTTGCTTCATTTGTTTCATACGCATATGCAGCAATAGTCATATTTTAATGAGAATAAAATGTTGTTCTATTTGCAAAGTACAGACCCAAACGAATACGGGACAGTAAAGCTACAAACAAACTTAGGTCTACAGAATGAAGCACTTGCTTTCAGAGTTGTTGACTTCAATACTATCGCAACTTTTGTCATAACAGATGAAACAGATTTCATAGAGATTGAAATAGATGACAAAAGAAGTGTTATAACATTTCCTAACAGAGCTGGGTATAGAATAGATAAAATTGCTGGAGTCATAGATACTCTCATAAATGAAGAAACTATTGACAACATAGATGTCGAACTCTCTTCTGAGGGAACATTGAAGTTCAGTAGCAAGAAAGAGTTCAAGATAACACGAATGAGTCATAGAGTTCAACTTCTTTTAGGAGCATACCATATGACATTTCCTTTGAAAAGTGTTGACAAAACGATTGAGATGAAATCTGTTCCATACGTATGTTATGGCAATTGTTTATACATTGAGTCTAAAATAGCTAATGTCACAGGCATTTCAGGAGTTAATAGTAAAGGTTCAGTAGAGTATAAATCTTTCTGTTATGAAGTAAATTCAATGTTCATTCCAAACGTTCCTGTCATAGCAACTCATTTAGGTAAATGGGTTCGCATTAGTCCTCATAATTTGAAAGACATGCAATTCAGACTTGTTGACTTTCAAGGAGAGCCTGTAGAACTGAAGGCACCAGTGCGAATGACTGTTGAAGTTGACTTTTTAGAAAATATTAAATGCAACAGCTTACAAGAGAACTCAGAGCTAAAAATATAAAGTATGAATGTTATGTATTAGGTCATGAACTTTGGTTGTTGCTGTTTGATGAAACAAATGAGTTAGTTATGTCAGTCAAGAGAACAGAAAAATATTGTGTTAGTGAAAACTGCACCAAGTCAATAAGATTAGGTTTGCATTATGAAGATGAGTTCGATACTGTTGAAGAAGTTTTGGATAGATATTACAAATTGCTTTAATTTACTAAAACATATTTCAAGCAAAGTTTATATTCTGTTGAAAGTTTTGTATACTCGTTCGAATATTTATACTTAAACTCAACTCCTGTAGTTCCTGGTGTTTCAATGATGCGGATGTTACCTATTTTCATGAATGGTGGCGTTTGACCACAGCATTCGATTTCAGGGTCGAGATAGTCAATGACACATTGTTTCCCTGTTATTCGTGAGATAACATTTTCAAGGTCCTCCTTTGTTAGAATTATTTGGTTCTTACTTATAAGATTTGTCAAAAGCTTCTTATCGTCTTTGAGTAAAATTGTTTGGTATAACTGAAGAAGGTAATGGTCTACGTTATCTGAAGGATTTGTTTGAACATTTGTGTAAGGATTGTCGTTGGCTTCTCTTGAAAGAATTTGGTCCAGTGGTGGATACTCTAACTTAACATCTGATGTAGCGTTAGCGTTTGAAGCTGTGTTTAAATTCACGGATTTCAGCTCTGGTTCTTTTTCTTTCAAACACTCTGAACTATAGTTCTTTATGACAATATTGTTTGTCGTTCGTGAGTCAACATTTGATGTTGGTTCAATTGGAACATTAACGGCACCAGCTAAGATGGATTTGCTTCTCATTTCATATAGAATAAAAACCTTTTATATGTATGAAATGAACAATATACTCGACAAGGGTTTGAATGTAAAGCTAACGAATGAAAATATTGTTGAATTCACTGAGACAGGTGCTGTGTATAAAGATGTAGAACTACTGAACAAAAGAGCTAAGGGAAGAAGCAGGAACATGAACAAAGGGTGGAAGCCTATAAAAATTTATGTCAATGATGGCTCAGGAGGTTCAAACATAAAGTATGCAGAAAGTTATAGAGTTTATGCTCTCAAGGGAGAGAAGCCTTCATTTAAGAACAGCTATTCTAACACATATCCTCAAAAGCTAACGGATGGAGAAGTGGATGATATGAATGACAGCAAAAATATTAACAGAAATGGCGACAGAGATGCATGGAATTTGTTTACCATCAGTCAATTGAAGGTTAAACTTTAAAACAATGTTGGTCGTTCCCATGGAATATTTTTGACTTTAATGGTATTAGTCATGATATGAATCTCAAGGTATGAACGAGGAGAGATGAGAGACTTATATGCTTCCCAAATTTCTTCAAAAGGTAATGTTATACCTGACTGTTTCCAAATGAGTTCAATATCATAACGTGAGAAACCTTGAAAGATAACGAAGTCAGTTATGAGACGTTTTATGTTTAAAGCAAGAAAACGCCATGTTTGCATAAGTATTGCTACAGTTAAGTGGTAATGTCTGACTTTAGTAATGATGTTAGCTAATGGTGAGTCAGGCTTTGAACTAAACCTTTTCCGGCGAAGTCGTCACAAACGAGCAGAGTGTTTGAAGGATACTTTTTGAAGGGGTATTTTGAAAGTTTTGATAGAATGTAGTTTGTCAGTCGTTTCATATCGTAAACTCCTGAGTATTGACGTAAGTGGTGTTTGTCAATAATTCTTTCCATCTCTTCTGAAGTCTTTTGCATTCCTGACTGTATAAATTCAACAATGGCATAATATTTCCTCTTACGTCGAATGTAACGTTGAAGAAATTCAATGAGTTCACTGTCTGAACTTTAACGACAGAGGCTTGAACTTTTGACATAAATGTTTTCGCTGTTGAATCCATAGAGTCTGAAGTTGCTGATATAATGATTTGGTCATAGTAAGAGTCGTTTCCTAAACGCTCTGTTATGAGTATATGACGAATGAGGTTAAATGTCTTACCTGAACCCATCTTTCCACAATAGAAATAAACACCATTTGAACAGAACTCATAGTCCTTACTGAAAGGAAGAATGAGAGAAGAGTTAAGTTTGTCTGTAGTTTCATTCATGTCTTCATCTACGTCATGTATTAAATGCTTCATTTTATCTCCATTAAAAATGCAAGTCAGAAATATTCAGAACATAGCACCGAGTCTAACTGACAAGAGTATAAAGATATACTATGAACACGTTATGATGAAACCTACCAAAATTCAAGAAAGTCAGTATACTTATGAATATCCAAGGCACTGGGTAGAGTATGTAGGAGGTGAGAAAGCTATTGAAATCAGACAGGTTCGAAGTATTCCAGCAGGAAGAACAATATTATTGAAGAACTTTAATGTTTTGAGATATAATGATGAAACAAAGAAGCAAGATAGTTTCCCTGTTGCTGTGTATGTGAACTTAGATACAGGAGATGACATGAAAGTTTTTAACACAAAGCTTCAAATGGTAGTGAGAGAACAACTGACTGCGGAAGGACATCCATTACCTTCAGAAGTTACCATAGCATATAATTTTGAAACAAACTCAATAGATTTTAAAGTCATCTCTGCAAAGAAGTCAGGATTTACATTTAATGAAGCAGATGTATATTCGAATGAAAACTTCAAAGCTATTGCATGGTTAGATAATGACGATTGCTTTAAGAAAATATTTAAATACAGTGACTCAACGATGTCAATAGATGACCTTCGTGGAATGTTACCATCGACGTTTACAGTTGAAGGTTCAGCAGGATTGCTTACAAGATTGTCAATTGGTGGCGTTTGGTCTCGTGAGAACATTGTTATAAAATCCAGTATAAGTGAATTTGCTGAAGAATCTATATTATGTCTTTCAAACTACATGTATTCGCCGCCGAAGCATTATAGTATAACAAACTTTGTCAGTAAGTTTAACATAAGACTTGTCGAACCTTCTTCAATGAAAGATGTTGTGCTACCCAAAGACGGAAAGGATGGACTCATTATTGAGATGATTTTAATTGCATATTAAATGAGCTTGTTCTTGAAGGTCATTCATGATGAAATAACTGTTGTAGAAGATGTTAGCAATTGTTCAGACATTTTGAAGCGTATAGATGATATAAGAAAGAAGTTAGATAGACCGCAAAGCGGTGAGGGCGAAGCCCGTGAGAACGCTTATGTTTCATTGACTTTCTCCAGTAACGAGAACTTTTATGAGATAATATTGAAGAGAGATGATTTTAATATGGGGTAAATGGTAGCTTGGGCAGCTTTAGGCGCAATGGGAACAAAAGCATTAGCATTTGGAGCAAAAGCACTTGGAGCTTATGACGCAGTAAATAAAATGAGTGGAGGAAGGGTTTCGAAGACATTAGATGCAAATAAAGGAAAGATTGGAGGCTGGGTTGCAAAGAAGTTAAGATTAAATAAAATAGGGCTCATAAATAAAGCATCCAATTTGGTTGCGACTGAGTCAGAAAATGCTTTAGGAAAGGACGATGAGTTTGCAAAACACGCAAAAGACTTTAATGACCAGATGAAAGGTGAAACAATGCATTTAAATAGAGTCGATGGAACTAAAGAAAATGTTTCTTCTCCACCAGTAGTTTATCCATACGGACCTTATGGAATGTATGGAAACCCTTACGAAAGACCATTTGACCCATTGACTGGTGGAAGTAACTGGTATCATTACGGCCGAAGAAGAAAGACAGTCAAGTTGGAGACAGACGTGAAGAAAGCAACTAAAAAGAAACCAAGGAAGAGAGTTATAAAGTAATGAATTCAACAGGGTGAAAAAAGAGGTGAAAAAAGAGGTGAGATCTCACCACTTCACCTAAATTTAAATGGATGTTTTCATACGTGTGGGAGTGGTGATATCATTTATTTTTAAGTTTATTTTTTATTTTATTTTTTATTTTATTTTTATATAAATGACGAAAACTATTGAGATAACAAACTACAACGGTCATGAGTTCAAGAATTTGTTCTTCGTTCCTCGTGAAAATACATTCTATCAGATACGAGGGAGAAAGGGTAAAGTTAGTTTGAGCGTTTATGAAGGAATGAAGAATGGAAAGTTTATACAAGCATACGATACAAACGGTAAGCGTGTTTCATTAGCTTTGTCAAAACTTACAGGTATAAACTATGACAGTGATTTTGGCTCTGACGATTGGAGCGACAGCAGCGATACTGAAGAATATGAACTATTGTGTGAAGCACAGCAATGGGAAGAGTTGCAATACTTTTGTAAATGAGAACGTTTATTTTTACAGTAGTGAAGTCGTTTGTGAAAACGTTAGTGAGGTGAAGTGGTTGGCGGCTTTATAAATATTTAAGGTTAAGTTGGTGTTTGTGTTTGTGTTGTAAAATATACGTTAACGGTTTTGTAAAGTGTCAAATTCACATATCATGGGTAAGGAGGCTCGCAGTGCCTCCGTACACATGATATGTATACTAACTAACCTTCTACCCTAAATTATATTTTTGGGTCCTTTACACTCATTACGATGAAGAAGTCTTGACAAAACATTTACGAAGAAGTCATGAAAATTCAAGAGGTGAAAAAAGAGGTGAAAAAACATTTACGAAGAAGTCTTGACACTTTTTCATTAGATAACTGTTATTTTTTGACGAAGTGAAGGTTGACACTTCGTCAAAAAAATCCCTGAAATCATATCTTTTATACAAAAAAATACAAAAAAATGACACTTTTTCATTAGATAACTGTTATTTTTTGACGAAGTGAACATTGACACTTCGTCAAAAAAATCCCTGAAATCATATCTAACATACAAAATAAAAAAATAAAACTAACTTTATTTTTTCTATCTTAAGGAAATTCATGAAAATTCATGAGGTGAAATGAGGGTAGAAAAGAGGTTAGATCTAACCTTCTACCCTAAATTATATTTTTGGGTCCTTTACGCTCATTACGAAGAAGTCATGACAAAACATTTACGAAGAAGTCATGACAAAACATTTACGAAGAAGTCATGACAAAACATTTACGAAGAAGTCTTGAGAAAACATTTACGAAGAAGTCATGACAAAACATTTACGTTCATGTTTGACAAAGCATGTACGTTCATGTTTGACAAAACATTTACGAAGAAGTCTTGACAAAACATTTACGAAGAAGTCTTGACAAAACATTTACGAAGAAGTCTTGACAAAACATTTACGAAGAAGTCTTGACAAAACATTTACGAAGAAGTCTTGACAAAACATTTACGAAGAAGTCTTGACAAAACATTTACGAAGAAGTCTTGACAAAACATTTACGAAGAAGTCATGACAAATTCAAGAGGGTGAAAAAAGAGGTGAAAAAACAGGTGAGATCTAACCTCTTCACCTAAATTATATTTTTTGGTCCGGGAACAACTTTCTCTCAATTGGAGCTGTAGCATACTCTTTGCGTAAACGGTTCAGACCTTCTTCGAACTCTTGGTCTCTCTTCGATTTGGATTGAGATTGGAATTGCTGGGGTGGAGCTTGCTGGAACATCCAAGGGTTGGGGAAGTAAGGCATAGGCTGATGAGACTGTTGTGGTGCTTTAGGTTCCTCTGGTTTGGGAATGGACTGGGTTGGTGGTACGTCGGACATTGTCTTGAAACAGTACAAATATTGTTCTGAAGCAGTGCAAGTCTTGTTCTGAAAAAGTACAAGTATTGTTCTGAAGCAGTGCAAGTATTGTTCTGAAAAAGTACAAGTATTGTTCTGAAGCAGTGCAATGGACAACATCGAGCCATTAGATGAGGCAGTTTACCTAATTTAAATTAACGAGCTTGTTAAGCAGTACTTGCGCAAGGTCATGAAGCCCAAGGTCAAGTTCACCACTATTTCTGGAAGGGCTGCCTTGACTCTCGAGATTTCGACTGGAATTCCAATTCAAATACCAGACGGGACAGCCTACGATGGCATAAAGCAAGCAAAGAAAGAAGCTCTTCTCAAGTTCTTTGCCAAGCGTCCTTGGATACTACTTCCAAACAGAGAGAGTCCAATTCCACGAATTATACAAATTCTCAGAGCACTGTTCCACTTCTCGGGTCAGCCGTTCTACATAACCTGTGAAGGCGACATCCAACCAGTTCAGTAAACCTTAACGTTTAACTTCACTTTTTTATGTTTTTTGTGAAAGTGTCAAAAATAAATTGTTTTCATGAGTTTTCTACGATGTTAGAAAACGTGTTATTTTCTAATATCTTCACATTCAATACTTTTTCAGCACTTTTCCGTAGTTATATATGAAAGACAATTCGAGATAAAAGTCATAGTACAATGGAATAATATGTTGCACACCATTTGTTGTGAACCAAACTTGAAAGTCAGAGAAACTGTTACTAGGTGGTTCGTAGAATTTAGAAGCAAAGTCATAAAAGTCCTTACCAATACATAGAAAACTATTGTTGCTTGAACTGAAACTTGCATGACACATAACATTTTGAGGGTCAAACACGTTTCTATAAACTGTCAAATCTGCTGGTGGAAGTATAAATTTAAATGGACCATCTGGTGGTAATGGTTCGTTCTGGTTTAGTAACCGAAGAAATTGTGCCCAAGAACGTTTGTCTACTTTCCAATATAAAAACTCTGTATCTCTTGGAGGGTTAATTTCAATCTTTTGAAATGAAACGGTGGAGTTCATCTTGTCATATTCTAGTTTCAGATAGTATGTTCCATTTAGTAAAGAGTCGTATTTTTCTTGAAATTCCCAATAATATTTGTTCATTTGAGTTTGAAAGTCATTTAGAGTTTTCTCAAGACTTTCGTCTGAACGAACTGTAAAGATTCTCATTTCGTCAAATTTGTCTATTAGACCATCAGAACCTTTATACTGCCCATGAAAATATACTGCGAACATAAATGCGTTAGTTCTATTTGAAAACAAAACTCTTCTAAATGCTATTGCCTTTGCATCTGAAGGACTTTGAAGCCAACGAATTGGATAGTCAAACCTGTATGCTCGGGATGAAATTTCTTCATCTGAAATAGTCCTACCAGCATTTGTAAAGATATAGTCTAACGGTTTTGTATCTGCTACTTTTGTTCTTTGTTTTTCAACCTGAAGCATTTAATATATGTAAAAATATATTGTTTTAAAATGGTATGCCATTTCATATTTCTCATCTAACAAACAAGTTTCCCAACGGTCTTCTCCAACAAACTCAGCGTACATTTCAAATAAAATTTAAAAAATGTCACTTTTTTAAAATAAATTTTTACTTCATGCAATGTTTAACACATCGAAAGGCATGTCCATAAGACGTTCTTCTTCTAACCTCTCTAGTCTGTTTGGATAATTTGCACGTGCTGTTTCCAAATCCATTTCGTAGGTCAGACCAGACAATTTGTCATAGACTTTTATGGGTCTTCCCTTCCTATATTTAAACTTCTTCGAAACTCTCCAACCATATCTTTGTAACTCTGCTTTTATTCTAGCAGACTTTCTGTCCATTCTATATGGGGGCATTTTTATAAAAATAAAAAAATATTTTTTCTTTACTTTACATAACCGCCTGCTGCCATAAGTCTTTGACGCCAACCCATACCAGCTAATGAAGGTTGACTTGGTTTAGTTTCCAAACTAAACTTTGGTTTTGGTTTATCTTCAGTTTTTGGTTTTTCTTCTTCTATCGGTTTTTCGTCACTTTTCGGTTTCTCTGACTTTACCTCACCTGCAGGAACAGTTGTGTCGTCAACATCTTCATAAATATCATATGCCATTTGTTTTTGTTTTCCTTTCAACTTTTTGTGTTTGTTGTAAAGTTTAGAATATTTCGACTCTAAGTCAATGAGATGTTCTATAATGAACTGTTGGTCAGTGAAGTAAACTTTTCCATCTGTTGTCTCGAAAGCTCCTTCAGACTTCAATATTTTATTTGTGAGAGTCTGTTTCTTTTTTGAGATACTTGCCGTTCCATTTTTATGAAAAGTGACTTTGTAGTTAGGGTTTGTATTTCCAGACCTGGCACTTTCTATTATTGAATTTTTCTCTTCATCTGTAAGTTCTTTGACAGGTTTTGACAATGGTTCTGAACTTTTTTTTGTGGTGTCAAATCTACCGTTTCAACTTCTTCGGTCATTTCATCTCAGTAAAAAATTTTAGTTTGGTTTGTTTTCAACTGGTTGTTGTTGTTTTTTAAGTCGGTCTAAAACTTCCTGAGGTATAGGAAGAACTTGACAAACACGTGGTGTAACTGCTGGAAGTCGACAAATCCATCTTGAACCCATTTGTCTCAATGCTGTATTGTTCATTTCATCTCAGTAAAAAACTTTACATTCCCCACGTTTGAGGCGGTTGAGGTTGGTTATTGTTTACCCATTGTTGTGCATGGTTATATCCTCTGTTAAAGAATCTTTCATCTTGGTCCATATAGTGTCCTGCTTGGTTATAGTAGTCATTTGCTTTGTTATAATAGTTTCCTGCTTGTCTTCCTACATTGTCCATCCATCCTTGAACTTTTCCTCTTGTTTCAGGATTTGGAATAAGATTTGTTGCATCTCGTGCTACATCCCAACCTTTCTGTACAGTTTGTATAATAGGTTGTGCTTTCTCTTTAAGTATACCTAATGTACTCAAAATCTTCCTTCCAACTCCAAATACACCTCTGGCTATTGTTCCCACTGCGGGTAAAAATCTAGATGCGACTCCTGCTAATGCGCCAAATAAACCCATTTCTTATAGGGTAAAAAATGACGAATCCAAACAAGGACCCCTATGTTTCTAAAGCGACAAAGAAAGCACTCATGATAAAAATCTTTAGTTCAACACCAAATGCTTGGTTTATGGATATCTTGGAAAACATTCCGAGAGTTAGAACAGATGGACCACCATACTGGCTAATATTTGTCGGTCAAAACACAAGATACTGTGAAGCCATACCATTATGGTCCAAAAATATTTTAGATGTGAAAACTGCTTTGACAATATTCGTTGACAAATACCATCCAACAAAACTGACATCTGACTGTGAAAGTTCTTTCAAATCAGATGATGTAAAAAACTATCTGCGTTCAAAAATGTAAACCAATATTTCATTGTCGACCAAAACCATTCTGCTCTTGGTGTCATTGACGGTTGTATAAAAATGTTAAGAGACTTAAACCAACCACAAGGTGGTGAAGCAAATGAAATGTCATATGACGACAAATATAGACACTTCTCCATGGCAAAGATGAGACAAGTTTTAAATATTTACAATAACCGTAAACAAAAAGGTTTGGGAAACCACTCCCCGAAGAAATGAAAAACAACCCTGACTTAGAGAAAGACTATATATTTAATAATTTAGTCAAAAGAGACAAACAAGAAAGAATGCCGGGCTTCAAACTTCAGAAAGGTGACAAAGTAAAAATAGAAATACCTAAACGCGACCCATATGAAAATACTATTGACTATGACAACAATGGGAACCCGACAGGTACTCACATTCGTGTTCGTAAAAATAGAAGAAAGTATACAAGAGAATATTATGAAGTTTTAGGCAAACATGGCAAAATGTACACACTGCAAGCAGAAGATAAAACTACTATTGTCAGACCTCGTTTCAAACTTGTCAAAGTTCAAGGTGGTATACTTTCAAAAACAGTTCCTAACAAATATAAGACAACTCCTGACGAATATGCTAAAGAAGTTGAAAATGACGACTAAGCAATTCTATACCATGCGTAAACTGTCATGTAAGGTGGCATGTATTCTTTACTTTGTCCCGTTGTTTGCGTATATCCCGAAACGCGATGTGTATGGTTTCCTCCTCCCTCAGTGTTACTCCAGTAACAATTTATAGCAAACTTAACGTTGTCTTTAACATCATATCCTTTACCTTTTGTCATTCCTGACCAATCCCAATATCTATGCTTATGCCAACCTGCTTGAGATGTACTTAAATCTATGTAGTGACTGTGTGCAGGTAAATTTTCACCTGAAATCGTTTTACTTCCACCTGTTTCCTTTGAAGAGTTTGCACAATACAAAAACCTGTCGACTATTTGTTCCCATGCACCAACACCAAACATTACTTGAGGACCTCTTGCTTCCATAGATGTATAAATAGAACCTACTGGGTTCATTAAATCAAACATATGAGATATTATAGGATTGTCTCTTTTGAACTTAAAATATAGTGCAACTATTTCAGGTTTCTTCTGGTTTGTGTAAGAATATTTTTTATAATATAATCTTATGTTTTCAGGGTAGGTAAAATCTTGACTATAATATTTATTTCTGTCATCTATATAATAATATACTATTCTCGTTTTTTCTATTGCATTATATCTTTTATATCTATAATAATCTAAATATAATGTTTGCTTTTGTTCATCTGCATGTAGTGTTCCTTCGTCATCTACATAGTCATAATAATATGGTGCTGGAGCTGGGTCAGGCAATGTCATATCTGCCATTTCATAAACTCGGAAATATTTCTTTTGTTCGTCTCCATATAAGTTTAAGTAGCAGTTGTTGTCTAATGGAACTTTAACTTGTGTACCATCATTCTTTATATAGCTTACATACATTTCATTGTTATTTTTCGGAATGAGTTTATACCGTATACCATTTCTTAAGGACTGTACAAACTGCCATCTAAAATATTTATTTTCTTCATTGACAGAAAAGTCACCAACAATAGTTTCAATATTTTTTGTTGTTCCTATCAAACTTTGGTATATTTCATTGACATATGTTTTATCTGCTTTCTTTTCAAGGCTAACGTTTAAGTCTGTTATTTCAGAAGATGTATGTGTATGTCCAACGGCACTTTTCCTGTTTAAGGTTTCTTGTAAGTTTGTAATATCAGATATAGAATGTGTATGTCCAACGTCACTTTTCCTGTTTAAGGTTTCTTGTAAGTCTGTTATTTCAGAAGATGTATGTGTATGTCCAACGGCACTTTTCCTGTTTAAGGTTTCTTGTAAGTTTGTAATATTTGCAATGGTATGTGTATGTCCAACGGCACTTTTACTGTTTAAGGTTTCTTGTAAGTCTGTTATTTCAGATATAGAATGTGTATGAGTCTTTTTAGAATATTCGTTTTCAGCTCTCGTCACTTCACTTGACATTTTATTGTCAACATATGTTTTGTCTGCTAGTTCAGGATGAGTATGTTCTTTTGTTGCATAAGCATTGTTAGCTCTTTCTTCTTCTTTTGCTATTGCATCGTCTACATATTCTTTGTCAGCTTTGTTGTCAACATCTGTTTTCAAAAGAAGTTCATTTATAGGTTTCTCGTTTAAAGTTCCTTTTGATGGATTTATACAGACAGTATGGTTCTTATTGTCTTGAAACAGAAACTCATCTGTCATTGGGAATGTCAGTTTTAAGTTTCCTTCTTTCAATGACTCAGATATCTTAGAATAGTTTGAAAAGTTTGTTGTGTTCTTATTTAGAGCTTGCATAATGAGTTGTCGGTTGTGTTGTATTTCTCTTATGGAAGCAATATCTTTCGACATTTTTATTCTAGATAAAATATGCTTTCAATAGAAAAAGAAAATTCAAGAGTTGCTACAACTAAACCATTAGATGAACTTTTTACTAATGTCGGTCAAAAGTTTGAGACAGAGACCGTAAAGCATGAAGGCTATCGTTTTGACTACCATTAAGATGGCTAAGAGACCCATCTGTCACAAAAGCTATTGGCTTTCGTAGAATGAAGTTCATTTCAGAAGCCATACATGGTTTCCCATTTACGGTCGGTTTTGAAGTTCGATACTATAACAAAGAAAAACGTATGTATGAGAAATTTGAACAGGGAAAACTTTTACAAGTTAGTTTGCTTGTAAACTTAGAAACAACTCTTCAAGCTTTTCAAGAAAAAATAAACGATATCTATATCGAATATGCAAACCAGTATAACATTGACGAGGAGAGTACCATCTCGATATTATTTATGACAGGAAAAATGCAACTGTTAAAATCAATAGAATAGAAGACCTTGGAGAAAACGTTTATATTTCTACAAAATATAACAACTTGGCATGGTATAGATTTATGAGGATGTTAAATCAGCCTGCAGCATATCCAGTACACCCAGACTTTTATGAAGTCGAAAACCCTAATGGAACATATGAAAATGTTTTCGACCAAGATGCTATTATTGTTCATGCTTCATTTTCTGGCGCCCAAAACTCTTTCTTATGCTTGGCAAATGACTTTTACGAAAAACCTACAAAGTTATACGAACCACCAAGTGGAAGTATTTCAGACTTTCAAGTATGGTTTACTACAGATGGAAGAAAAAGAATAATTCCATTATACCATGCGTTTTACTTAGAACTTAGTTTCATATACAACTACTATCGAACGGTAAAAATATAATTTTTTAATACGGTTGAGGTGTTGGATTTGGTTGCCAACTTGACTGTGGTGCAGGTTCAGGCTGTTGTATTACAGGAGCTTGTTCTTCTGGTTCAGGTCTTTAGGTATAATACCAACAAACTGACCTACCCTTTTACCAATATTTTTGACTCCGTTCCAAATTCCTCTTCCTACGGTTTTTATTCCATTCCATATACCTCTTCCAACTCTTCTGAAGAAGTTTCCAATACTACTGAAGAAACCCATTTTACTATATGTAAAAATCTAATGTCCGCCTAGTCTCTTACGTTTCCTGTTGAGTTCCATAGCATTCTTTAACTGGAGCTCATACATTCTGTTTCTCCTCTGGTAGAAAACATATTCTGGGTCAACTCCTGTGTTCGCGTCATCTGCATAAAGTTGTTTATATCCCACTTCAGGGTTTGTATAAAACTCTTTCCATCTCATATTTGCATACCATGGTGGCAAACCTAACGCAGCGTCATTTGACATGGCAGTTTGCATTTGTACATCTGTTGGCACTTGATCATAGTTTGCCATTGCAGTTTGTATTCTAACTTCATTTGGAATATTCTCTGGGTTTGGTTTGTCCAGGTTG